ACACACACACACACACACACACACACACACAAATAAAACATATATATAACAGTCCATATGTGTGGAAGAAAATTAAAACAAGGGATAGTTAATTATATTTAATTACGATATTTAATTTGAAATCAAATAAAAAAATTACCACCACCCTTGGAGTAAATGTATCATCAGGGCTCGACAATCTATTGAATCTACTCGCCCTTGGCGAGTAGATTTCAGCCCGGCGCCTGTTTACCAGCGCCGCATGCATGCGCATTGTGCCTCTTGCACGTGCGCAGTGCAGGGCTGGTGAGCGGCTTTCGCTGTGGTTCATCAGGCCCTGTGTATCATCATCCTTTCTAGCAACTCAAGTTAGTAAACAAAGCAAAATTCATATTTTCCACACACATCTCAGTTTTTAAGATGCCAAACAAATCTATGAGTCAACTAAAAATAGCATTTGCAAGGAGAGCATGACTAATACAGTATTTACTGACACTGGAAAGGAGAGTAAAAGGAATTCACTACGGCTTATTAGTTTCTCTGGGGAATGTTTAGGATCCACGCTGTAAAAACAGATAAAAGTTCTCCTGGTTTGAAACTTTTACCTTGTGTGTGTCACCACCTCAAAGAGTAGAAGCCCCAGAACAAATTAACACATGGCTTCTGGATTTGTAGACAGATGCATGTTTCAAAGAGTTTGTAAATAAGGTTTCATCCTGTAAAACTAGCATCATACCTACTACTTGCTATTTCTGACTTAGAAGAGCCAAAACTGTACCACATATAAAAAATCTGGCTTTAATGCAATGCAGTTTACTATATATTACTTGTAACACAGGATGTTGAAAAAATCATTAAGTTCAGAGTTTTAGATATCTGCAACATTCCAAAAAATATCTGCTAAAAGAATATTTTTCTTTCTTCTCTTAAGCCATTAACACCCATGTAAACTTTGTTTGAAATGTAATCATGCAACTCTCCTGCTGGCACCCTCCCTCCCCCATGCAGCCTGCTTTTACCCATCCCCTCTAACCTAGACAGTCAGAGAGGATTGCAGCAAATGAGTCAGGATACCCTAAACAAACTGCCCCCCTGCCTCCACCTCACTGCACAAATGCCTCACCCTTCCCAGCGCAGGAAGATTCAAGAGACTGCAGGATTTCTACTTCTCTCTCTCTTTCTCTCTGTCCGTTTCCTCGGGCAGATAGGACTCTCCAAACTCTCTGCCCCTCTGACTTTCTCTCAAGCCAATTAATTACTCACTCACTCCCCCCAGCTACTTCTTCCCCCTCCTTATCTTGCCTGCTTATCTGTTCTTGGAGCTCTTCAGTTAAAGAAGTGGCAGCTCTGTTTAGCTTCTGCTTAGCTAGACACCCTGCCCCCTGATGGTCAGCTGAGGTCTCTGCCTGTGCAGGAGCGTTCAACCTCTGAGCAGGGCTTAGAAAATAGCTATGCAGTCACACGGCTGTGCAACTTAGAGGGAACTTAGGTAGTGACCTGTTTTGAAAAATATCAGTATTTTGCTCCTATTGCTGTGTTAGGCTAGATCAGTTGGGTCCAAATGACATTAGACTGCCTGCTTTCTCTATACCAATGTTACCACTTTATTCTGTAACCTGTCTTGAAAGGCCTTGCTTGTGAATCCTTCTTAAAACTGGATCTGAGACTTCATTCTGGTATCACTGGCTGCTACATTATTTTTCTTATACATTTGTTTTTGGATTTTTAAGAATCCCACCCATCACTGTAGATCTGGGCAGAAGTCAGTTCTTTTAAAACACCACTAAATTATCTTTGTGTGGTGTAATAATAATTACACCTCACTATTAGAAATAAACATGACATCAATACCATATCAGGCAAAAGCCAGAGAAAAGAAGTGTGCTTACGGTTTGCTCTTAAGGTCAACCAGCATGGGCTCTGTTGCTAGACCTATCATTTCCCAGTGAAATTAAGGCACCTCCTCTTAAAATGTCCTGCCATCAGTCCTCAGACACTTATACCTAGGGACTTTGTACTTGTATATATCAGCAATTCACTTCAGTGGAGCTATGCTGATTTTCACCAACTGAGAATCTGGCACTGGTAAGCATTTGGATGCTAAGATTATATGGGTCATAAACTTAGCTAGAGAGATGCCATGTAGTTATCAAAGAAATACTTAAAAAAACCCAACCTAACCAAAACTTATAGCTGCTCTGCATGGACATTAATAATCACATGTCACTTTTTGTGAACCTTTGCCAAAACCTGTACAAGAGATTAGTAACCGTGTGCCTTTGAAATTCAAAGAGCTTTGACTAATTTGTCAATAAATATATTGCTGTTTTTCCTTCAGATAGCAGTGGTAATGGGATCTTGTACAGCGGGAGGAGCATATGTACCTGCAATGGCTGATGAAAGTATTATAGTTGGCAAACAGGGAACAATTTTCTTGGGTGGCCCTCCATTGGTAAGTAGACACATCTTTTTAGCAACATAATTTAAAACAATTTTTGTATTTGCATGTCTGAAAACAGTACAACTGTATAAATAGTTCAGCCTTTCTCAATGACCTCTTTTGCTCCAAATAAATTAGTGACTTAATTAAGGTTAGTTTTGAGTTTTTAAAATCTTAAATCTCATAATTGTCTTCAGTAGCGGTATAACACTAGTACTGATTGGACTTCCCTCGTCCGGCACCCTTGGGACCTCACTGGTTCTGAACTAGGGAATTTGCTGCACCAGGGGAGGTCATTGTTGCCCAGCTCTCCCCACCCCGACTCCCACCCCCCTTGTTCCTGGCTGGGCCCTGCCTGCTGCCTGGCTCCTGCCATTGAGCTCTGCTCCCAGACTCTGGCCCACTGTCCCAGGGCTCTGCTCCCAGCTGCCAGCCTGGCTCTGTGGTCCGGCTATATCCCTGGTCCTTCTGCACCAGGTATTCCCTGTGGCACTCCAGTGTTGGGGTCCCCAGTGATGCCGGATCATGGATGTTGCTGGACCAGAGAGTCCTGGACTAGAGACATTCAACTTGTAGTGTATAAATGAGATCATGTTAGTTTATTTCTCTTTTATGAAAAACTTATCCTGGCAAAAGCACTTCTTTGCTAATATATTCTAAGGCAGTGATGGGCAGCCCTCCTTCATCTCACTGGGCCTCAAGATTGTCATAACCAAGATGGTCTTCTGAGATAGGGTAGTTTTGCTAACTGTGTTTATGTAGCTAGAATTTGTGGAGTCTGCTGATTGAACTACAGCAGTGCTCTGATTGGATGCAGAGGGCTCTCACTGGCAGTGTTGTGTTCAATCAGCACACACCTCATTTCCTGTGCCCTTGCTTTATGTGCATGTTGTTTTAGTAATGTCAGTAGGAAAAAAACAATGTGAATGGAAACCAGTGGACTCTGGCAACCCTGCTCATGGACAATAGTAAACAAAATGTCTCGTGGGCCTCCCATAGAGCCCTGATGGGCTGCATGCGATGGGCAAACAATAAGCTGCCCACCACTGCTCTAGGGCTTATACTGGTGTAACTATGTTGATTCGTATCAGAGGGGTAGCCGTGTTAGTCTGAACCTGCAAAAGTGACCAGGAGTCCTATGTATCTGACGAAGTGGGTCTTTGCCCACAAAAGCTTATGCTCCAATAAATCTGTTAATCTATAAGGTGCCACAGGACTCCCGGTCACTTATGTTGATTAAGTAAAATAATAAAAAATATCACACTGAGACACTTTTGCTAATATAAATTTTAATTATAGGCCAGGCCTCACATAGATCATTTTACTTTAAATTAACTATAGGATGCAATTTAGAAAAGAGGTTAAGATGTGCTATTTGCTCAATGTTAATGGTCAAATAGGATTAAATTTTATTTAAATCATGAATAATGTAGATTCTTTACATTACAAGAGGGACTGATATGAATGGAGATTGCCTATCTCCTAGAACTGGAAGGGACCTTGAAAGGTCATTGAGTTGAGTCCAGTCCCCTGCCTTCACAGCAGGACCAGATACCATCCCGGATAGATTTTTGCCCTAAACCTCTAAATGGCCTCCTCAAAGATTGAACTCACAACTGTGGGTTTACCAGGCCAATGCTCAAACCACTGAGCTATCCCTCCCCCCACTGGAAATAGATGACATGTTAAAAACAATAGATGAAATCTTGACCCATTGAAGATAGTAGGCATTTTGCCATTAATTTCAGTGGAGCCGGGAATTCACCCAATGTGTAGGACTTGTAGAACTAAGGGCTTGCCTATGGGGTAAATTGAAGAAAATGGGGAAGTTGAGCAGAATAGCTATTCTGGAATAGCTCCTCCTTTGGATGTTGTATTACAGAACAAAGGTCACTTCATTTTGTAATAATTTGCACACTCACAAAGCCCACTTATGATTCTGCAGTAGTTTATTCCACAATCTACTATATATTTGAGAGAGTTGTGTATACCAGGGGTTCCCAAACTTTTTGACATGGGGACCAGTAAATCCATTCACCAGCTTTTGGAGGACTGGTAACATTCATTTGCATATTTGCATATTCATTAAACAAATGATGAATATTCAAATAAGTTGTTTCTGGTCCTCCCAAAGCCCCCAGTGCCAACGTCAGCAAAGTTTTTGATACAGTCACCCACAATATTCTTGCCAGCAAGTTAAGGGAATATGGATTGGATAAATGGACTGTAAGATGGATAGAAAGCTGACTAGACCAGGGTTTCCCAAACTTTTTACTTTAGTTGGAACCTGTTTTTTTCAGTACTGTTTTTTTGCATCCCAAAAATATAAAGGCATATATAAAAAAAGAATTAAAAATGAATAAATTTTCAGTGTTTCACCCGGCTGCATCCTCCGCCCAGCCTGGGCCAGGGCTTGGGGGACCCAGTGCTGCACGGGCACTCTAGGAGGCGGGAGCAGGAGCAGATTGGGGGTAGGATATCTGGCTAGGAGTGAGGGTGCAAGGAGGGGTAGGATTGCCAGGTGTCTGGTTTTGTACTGGATAGTCTGGTATTTGAGGGTTCTGTCCAGGAAACAAATTGAGAAAATACCGGACACATAAAATGTCTGATATTTTCTAATTAGGTACATTTTATTATTATTAGATGTATCAGTCCGTAGCTGCGAACTTCCTGGCTGGTAGATGCGCTCATGCTATGTGAGTCTGTCTACCAGACAGGCAGTTCGCAACTACTCGAGGGAGGGAATCCGCGGGGCCGGACTCACTTGTGTGCCCGGGTCTGTATGTGCCTGGGTCAGTCCTGCTTCCCACCGGCCGATTCGCTCCCCGTTGCCGCTTCTCTTCCTGATCTCCCCCATCCAGCCCTGCTGCCAGCCAATTTGCTTCTCCTTCCCCCGCCCCCCCACTTCCCCTCCCAATCTCCCCGGCTGGTTCGCCCCTGCCCTCCTGTATTGTCCCCAGCCAGCCCCACTCCCCCCAACGACCTCCCCAACCAGCCCTGCTCCCCTCGATCCCCTCCCAGTGGGCTGATTCTCCTCCTGATCTTCTCTGGCCAGCCCCGCTGCCCCTGTCCAGCCCTGCTTCCGGAGGCTGGTTCTCCTGTCCTTCTCCTCCCCATCTCCCTCAGCCAGCCTCCCTCACCCATCCAGCCCTGCTTCCGCTGGCCGCCCCAGCCTCCTCCTCTCCTCTCCCCTCCTCTCCTCCCCGATCTCTGCCGGACAGCCCCGCAGCCCCCAACCTTGCTTCCCGGTGGCCGGTTTCCCCCACAGAAACACCTCCTCCCAGCCAACCCTGCTCCCCTCCCGGCAGCCACACTGAGGCCCGGTATTTTTTTTCCCATCGCCCGGTACCAGGCCACAGCCCGTAGTTTGGGAAATGCTGGTGTATATTGAAATCCTCATCCCCAGCCCCACCTGAGAGCAATTATTTAAAAAACAAAAAAACAAAAATTAGTTCAGTTAAGGATCCAAGCAATGCTAAGTAAATATTCTAGTAAACTATATTGTTAAACAAAGTGATGTGATGCAGCACTTTACTACTAGATGATTTGGAGAACTACTGAAGGGGCTACAGTTCCCTAAAATTAGTAGAAACCACATATCTCTCATAAGTGCTTGCACTTGTGTATGTATAAATAGGAAAATCAGCTGTTAAGTCTTTTGCTGATTACATCACATTTCCCAATTCCTAGGGTGACAGAGATGGGGGACTCTGCTGAGAGAATTTATACATATTCATGTGCAGTTAGATTAGGTCACAGGGAACATACAGCAATGTCATTTATAAGTATAGCTAGATGGACATACAAGATTATTAAAAAAAAAAAAGTCACCAGTCCATTGTGCATGATTCCATAACTTTGCTTCTCCCAGCTCAAAATTACTGCTGCTGGCTATTTTTTCACATTTTATGGCATTCTGTTTTTACCTGAATGGCATTTTTCTTATTCCCATGGTCCAGGCTGGCATCTGAATCCACTCCCTTCTCTTTAGTTTTATTTAATCCTATTAATCAGCATTTGGTAAATTTACTTGATTCTGTATATGGGGAAGTTGTATAACTCTGGTGGAGTTCAAAAATAAGCATATATAGTTATTGAAACACATTTTTTGCTTGTACCTGGTAATTGCTCAATGCTAACTGTGCTTTCCAAAGCTCTCAGAGCAAAAACGTAATTGAAATGTGTGGGTGGGAGGGAAACGAAGCACAAAATCATGTTATTGTTTAGGCTGGGAAAGAATTTTCAATGTTTTTCTTTCAATGGAGATTTTCTAGTTTGAAGAAAAGAACAAAGTGATCAGCATAAACAAATGTAATAATCAATAGCAAGTACTGAATGACGAAACTGCCATTTAGTGCTAATTAATTTGTTGTTCGTTTCCTTTTAGAATTTTTCAGTCACCAATTATGTAATTTTAAATGCATTAACTCAGTCTTCTTTCTTTTATGTGTCTTGTATTAATCCTGTTCACCAGATTGGAAGCTAATTAATTATATATAAACTCAGAACTTTCCTCAAAACTAAGGATTTTTATGTACACTTATTTTCTCTCTTTTAATTAGAGTGATGATTGGGATTTTCTTGTGGACAATAGCATAAATGTAAATAGACACATAACTTGAAAACACAAATGTCAGTAAGACCAGATGATCCCAGATACTACATATAATCTTTTATTGAGGCAAAGCACTTAGTTGGGAAAAAAAAGAATTAGATATGTAGTAGAGATAACATCCATAATTTATACTGGGAAAGAAAAATAGGAAGTGGGTAAACCCAAATTACTTTAGGACATAAGCTACCATTGTCCAATTAAGGTGATCAAAAAGCTTGTCTTTTTCATAGTTATTCCATAACTATCTATTGTGAGGTTTCTTGCATCTTCATTTGATGGATTTGGTGCTGGCCATTGCCAGAGATAACATTTTGGACTACATGGATCTCTTTCTGAGATAGCATGAGCTATGTTTGTATTGGATTAACAATTATATAAGATTCACTTCCAAATTATT